TTGCCACAGGAAGTCAGAACAGGGACTTCATTTAGCAAATAAATAGAAAAGATTAATGTGACTTTTAAAGCTGCCTTCCTGCTTTATGCTGTGCCTTTCCTGATCCTGGGCTTAGAGTCACCCTAGATCAAATATTAGTCTAGAGATGATAATCTGGCCCTGAGGAATTGAATTACACTTAGCACACATGACATATTTTCATTTTCACTAAGTACATACAAGCAAGGTTGTGTCATCTGCATAATGCAGACTGTTGATAATTCTTCCTCCAATCCTGATGCCATATTTCTCCTCATAGAGATGACACAACCTTGCTCGCTGAAACTGAGTAGGACCTGAAGCACTTGCTGTGGAAGGTTAGGGACTGTAGTCTTCAGTATGGATTGAGACTTAATATCAAGAAAACAAAGATTCTCACCACTGCGCAGTGTCATAATAGATAGTGACGAGATTGAGATTGTTTACAGTTTTGGTTTGCTTGGATCCATAGTCAACACTCTTGGCACCAGCAGCCAGGAAATTAAAAGACATATTGCGATGGGCAAGTCTGTGTTTAGAGACCTTTCTAAAGTGCTGAAGTGCAAAGATGTCAGTCTGGAGACTAAGGTGCACCTGATACAGACCATGGTCTTTGCAATCACTTGCTATGCATGAGAGCTGGACAATGACTAGGGATGATAGGAGAACTGATGCCTTTGAGCTGTGGTGTTGGAGAAGAGTATTGAATATACCATGGACTGCTAGGAAAACAAACAGGTTTGTCCTGGAGAGGGTGAAGCCGGGCTGCCCTTTGGAGGCAAAGATTCTGAAGCTTCGTCTGACATATTTTGGACATGTTGCAAGGAGGGACCAGTCCTTGGAGAGGAATGTCATGCTTGGAAGGGTGGAGGGACAGCGCAGGAAAGGAAGACCCTTGATGAGATGGATTGATTCAGTGACTGGAGTAATAATGGGGGTGGGTGTGTCAGAGACGGTGAGATTGGCACAGGATAGGGCAGAGTTTAGGGCTATTGTATACAGGGTCGCTATGAGTCGCAGGTGACGCGATGGCACACAACAAGTACACTAGCTATACATATTACGTCCACAGTTGCTTTATATACATGTGAGAATTGGACAACGTACAAGGTATACTGGAGGACAGAAGCTTTTGAGTTGTGGTGTTGGCAAAGAGAATTGAAAATAGCATGGACTGACAAAAGCACACATTTGTCTTGGAGAAAGCGTAACCAAAGTGCTACTTGGAATAAAAAATTTACTAAAAAAATCAGACTCATTGCCATCAAGTCAGAATTGACTCACAGTTGACCCTCCAGTAGGTTTTTGAAGGCTATAAATCACACAGGAGGAGACTGCCCATATTCTTTCTTCAGAGCTGTTTGTGGATTTGAACCCCCAAAGAGATGCCACCTTGGGGATGGCATTGCAGCTCCTCACAGACTACGCCACAAGGGCTCTGAGTCAGTTCTGGCTTAATGGCAATGCAGTGTTGAGTTCTGAAACCTGATTCACTGACCACAAACAGAAGTTGGGTTTTACAACACATTACAAAATAAAGGATCACAAAATAGTGATCCTGATGACACAACCCTGCTTGCTGAAATTGAGGAGGACCTGAAGCACTTGCTGCCGAAGGTCAAGGACTGAAGCCTTCGATATGGATTGAGGCTCACTATCAAGAAAACAAAGATACTTACCACTGAGCCAATTGGCAGCATCAGGATGGATGGTAAAGAGATTGAGATTGTTAACAGCTTTAGTTTGCTTGGCTCCAGTCAACATTCTTGGCACCAGCAGCCAGGAAATTAAAAGATGTATTGTGATGGGTAAGTCTGCTGTTAGGGACCTCTCCAGGGTACTGAAGAGCAATGATGTCACTCTGGAGACTAAGGTGTGCCTGATATAGGACATGATCTTTGCAGTCACTTGCTATGCATCAGAGAGTTGGACAATGACAAAGGAGGATAGAAGGAGAATTGATGACTTTGAGCTGTGCTTTTAGAGAAGAGTATTAAGTATACCATGGACTGCTAAGGAAATGAACAGGTTCATTCTGAGAGGGTTAAACCAGGCTGCTCCTTGGAGGCAAAGATTCTGAAGATTCATCTGACATACTTTGGACATGTTGCAGGCAGAGACCGGTCCTTGGAGAGGGACATCATCCTTGGGAGAGTGGAGGGACAGTGCAGGAGAGGAAGATCCTCTATGAGGTGGATTGATTCAATGACTGGGATGGTAGGTGTGTCGGAGACAGTGAGATTGGCACAGGATGGAGCAGGGTTTACGGCTGTCTTGCATAGGGTCACTATGAGTCGCAGGCGACTTGATGGCATATAACAACAATAATCACACAATACTGGGAATTACAGCCTAGCCAAGTTGACACATATTTGGGGGGTAAGGGGTGGGTGGGTATGCAATCCAATCCAGGGAAGTGGCTTTAAAAAAAAATCCAAACCAACAACCGCCATATTTCTATTGGCAAAATTACTGACCCTTTTAAAAAAGGAGAAATCAATCTTTAGAGCCGATCAGCTGTTACAGGTAACAACTTAATTTTGTTTACACCTCCCTCACATCCCTAAACTCAGGTGACACTATACTAATAAACTTTTATCATGGTGCCTTTGTCATTCGAGTTCCTCACCAGAATCAGGGAGGACTAGGGAAATGGGAGACTTAGGAAGCCATTAGGCTGGGAGGAGGAGTTGGGAAGAAATGAGGAGGTATGCTTTTGAGTTTCTTGTTGTGAAGGGCCATTGAGTTGAGTATGACTCATAGCAACCTGATGAACAAGAGATTTGGACCTTGTCCTATACTGTGTCTACCTCACAATCTTTGACACACTTGAGTTCAGTGCTGCAGCCACTGCTGGCTGAGAGTCTTTCTCTCTTTTGTCATCCTTCTAACTTTCCAAGAATGACATCCCTCTCCAAGCAATAGCCTCGCCTAGCAACATGTCCAGAGTATGTGGGATGAAGCTTTGTCATCTTTGCCTCCAAGGAGCACTCTGGCTGCACTTTCTCCAAGACATATCTGTTTGTTCTTTTGGTAGTCCACAGGATAGTCTAAAGGTCTAGATTGTGAGTCAAAGGAGATCAGGCTCTGAGTATTGGACTGGAACACCTCATTCTACCAGTTAATGACGTAAGTGCTGATGGTTCACCAATAAAGATGAACCTTGTGACAAATAATGACCTCCTGTAAGCACTTTGGAAAGATTCCAAGTAACACAATTGCACAAGATAACCCCTTCCCCCAAAGCAACCAAACACCAGAAAACAAAGGCTGTGCTATCCTGCCACTTGGTTTCAAATTCTCACTGACTGGCCAGCAAAATAGCATTGGATATAGTTATACTTTTGCGAATTTCCAATTCTATTTCCAAGCAATGTTGTTGTTGTGTATTGCTGAGTCAGAACAGATTCATGACTGACCCTCCAGTGCATTTTTAGAGGCTGTAAACTGCAAAGGAGATTGTCTTCTTCCTGTGGAGTAGCTGGTGGATTCGAACCTTGTGCCTTTGGGTTGGCAGGGCAACCCTTACCACTTAGCCACTGGAGCCCACTATTCCTATGCAACAGTATTGTAGCCGATTGCTGTGAGGTCAAGTACAATGCCTCGTGACCCTATGAACAAAAGACCTGAAGCATTTCTATAATTATCGTTGGTTCTCAAAGTTCACAGAATTTGCAGAGGTATGTTGTTTAGAAAATAGATGTCACTCCTGCTTCCATGCAATCGTTCTAAATCATTGGTCAAATCCATAAAACAGTGGAATTTCCCTTAGCTCAGCCTCCAGTGTGCTGTGAAACTAAGTTCTCACAGAATGTTTATTATCGGGCACAATGAGTGAGAGCAGGTATGAGGGTCAGTATTTTTTTTCCCGAGTCAACTGAAAAAAAATGAAGAGTTAAAAAAGGACATTTTATGTGCTATTTTGGGTTAGGAATGGTCACTTTTATAAATCACACATCATTGAGATTCCTAGATGTGTTTACTTAGGGCCCTACTGGAGCTCCCCTGGTGGAGAACTGGTCAACTTAACTTCTAATCAACCGAGAAAGCCCATTAGGGAAGGAAGCTCTGCTCCTGCTAGGATAGGGCCTCTGATTAGGGGTGAACTTACAGTATACTTTTCATGTATGGACTTTGTTCTATGATTTAGGACAAACACGAAGTAAAGAATACATCTCAAGTGCTTCCACCAGGGCCTGGCTCCTAGGACCTCTGTTTATGGTTGATATATGTGGAGATAAGAGTTGTTGGTACACAAGAAAGAAGGCAGCGAGTGTCAGGAGATAGAGCACCTCTGCAAGATATGAAGTCTCCATACCCTCCTGTGTCATGCCAGGTGACCAGGCCCTTGAACAGTTTCCACAGCACAGGACTGGCTGTGGTATGAACCCAGACTAGGTCTGGGGAGCGTGTGGAATTCCGGTGTTCACTGGAGTTGTGTGACTCACCTGTTCCACATGTGTATTTTGTTTAGCTTGCACAGAGTTTTTAAAAAAAATGTTAAGACTTAACATTTAAAACATTGAGAGTTTCTATTTCCTAGATTTATCTAGATAAATATATATTTATCTAGATTTCTATTTTCTGGATAAGAAGAAGACCTGGTGGTCCCTGATCTATATTCTTGGAATGAAGTTGAGTAATGGTTTAACAAGTTGACTTTTTCTCTCACCCACATTCCCAAAGACCCACATGTTTGCAGGCCCTGATGTAGCTGAGAAATATTTACTGAACACTTTTATGTGCAGAACTTCTCAGTTTCCCTCAAGGACCATAGATGGCATTATCCCTTGTTGGGTTGTGCTGTCTGTATACGGAAGCCAGGATGTTCATGGATGAAAATGGATCTCTATTGGGTTTTATCTAGACTATCATGGTATTGTAAGTAATGGTGTTTTTTACACTTGTGAATAGCGATTCATGGAGCTGCTGTACTCTAGACTGGGTTTGTGCTGAAAATCAGGGAAGAACCTGGAAGACAGTGCCAGCTCATACACTGGTGTTCATCTATTTTATTATATATTTAAAAAAATAATGCCCTCCTTCCAACAAGCTTGGTGGGCAAAAACAAACAGTAGATGCAAATTGAAAAATAATTATCTCTAAATATTTTCACTTGCTAAGGTTCCATTTAATTAAAAAAACCTGCTGTTTTAAGTGGGCATAATTTCCTAAGAAAACAATTGTCAAATTTAAATTGGATTATATCAAGTGACTGTAGTAGGCCCATTCATCTTTCTTCTGAGACTATTCAGTTGAACTCCTGGGAATGTTCAGAGTTTCAGAGTCTTATTAGTTATGGCGTTATAAATGTCCTCAGTCATAGGCACATACATTTTTGCTTGGTCATCCAAGAAATACAAGGTATCTTTGACGGATGCAGGGTTAAAGCCTTCTTCCACAAGGGTTACTTTGCGATGTTTGAAAGTTCCTGTGATCTCAATGGTGTCCTGAAAAACAGACGACGATCTGCTTAGTTCCGGGTGCAGGGTGGGGAGAAAGAATGAGGCAGTGGGAATGGAGGTGCTGGCTAATGCACTGCTGTGTTCCATGGAGCTCATTCTGACTTGCAGTCACCCTACAGGACAGAGCAGTACTGACCCTACAGGACAGAGGAGCACTGACCCTACAGGACAGGGCAGCACTGACCCTGTAGGACAGGGCAGCATTGACCCTGTAGGACAGGGCAGCACTGCCCAACAGTTTCCCAGCTTGTGATCTTTATGGGAACAGACTTCAGGGGCTTATCTCTTTTTCTCATGGAGCAGACGGTGGGTTCAAATCTTGACCCTTTTGCCTGGCAACCAAGTGCTTAACTACTCCCTGACCAGGGTTTCTTCCAGCTCCCTTTGACAGCGGTGAAGGCAAATGCTTTGTACGATTCTGAAGCAGCTCCACTAGGAGGTGCTTTGGGGAGATTAGTTTTCATTTCCTTAAAGCTTTAAAAATCACCTGTGAAGCGTGAGGGATTAAAAACGTGAACTATTTGTGTAAGTACATTTTCTAGCAGAGGAGTAGGCTCCTATTGCTTGTTTAGACATCAGTTATTACAGAAACAATTAGTGGTGGAGGTGGGAATCATTTACACACAGGCAAGTCAGATTTTTTTTTTTGGCTTCTTTGTAAATTGAGGGCTGGCTGCTCCTTCATTTAATAGATGATGGGATGAGTTGTTGTTATGTGTCATCAAGGCTGACCCTCCAGCCGGTATGCAGAGGCTGTAATTCTTGCGGGAGGAGATTGCCCACCTTTCTCCCTCAGAGCAGCCGGTGGATTCTAAACACAATGGCTTTGAGTTGGCAGTGCAACGCCTAACTCACTTTGCCACCAGAGCTCCCTAATATTATTTATTTCATGCCTCTTTGCCATCTAGTTGCAAAGCAAAAGAAACACCTTTACAATCTTATATATCTCTGCTATCCTAACACTTCTGAACTGGAGAATTTGGGTTAGTGAAAGACAGGAAGCCCCTCAAGAGATAGACTGACACAGTAACTGGGCTTGTACACGGCAGAAGTTTGTGGAAACGGGAGAGCATTGGGCAGGGTTCCTTCTGTTGTGCACAGGGTCAGCGTTGACTTGACAACACCTACCAACACAAAAACACTTATTTCCATTAGTCTTCAGATGGGAACCACTGAGCTCGAAGTCTGAAAGTGGCGGTGTAAACCCAGTCCAAAAAGAGGGTGGGTTAATGCTGGAGGAAGAAAAACACATCCCGAGTGATGTAAGCCAAGCACTGGAAGCTCCAACTGACTAATGAAGTTCAATTAAATGTCACACCCCAGAAGGGTGTAGAATGTCAGTGGATTTTTCTATTTTTTGAAACTAGAAACAATAAAGAGCAAGATCAGATTGTTTCTCTTTGAGGTAGCTGTCATCCCTCATCAAACACGGACTGAAGGAGCTATTTGCTCATAGCCATTTGCTAAATGAGAGGAGACCTGATGGGGAAGGGGGTGAAGCATTGCGTGGCTAACCAAAGGCTGGCAGTCTGAACCCACCAGATGCTCTGCTGGAGAAAGATGGGGTGCTCTGATCCTTCCGGGGCCACACCAGACATCCCCGGAGCATCCTGTAGGATTGCGTGGGAGAGAATTGGCTCTCTGAATGAACTGGCCTGTCATTTTAGGGATACTAGAATCAGAACTGGGCTTCTGTTAGCTATTATTTTCAGTGATTTCTTCTTTCTTACTGACCTGTGATACTTTCTTCTGAGCTAATGAAAATGTGACACTTACAATTACCACAACAGGAGGGAGGTTGTTCTGGAAAAGAACAACTCATAAAATGAGTAACACTTATAAGGAATGTACACATCTATACTACTATTTTCATATTTGCCTTTCCAAAAATAATTCTTTAAAGAAAGCATTAAATTACTTAAAAGAGAGCAAGTGAGCTGAGGACCTCGAGGAGGAAAGGTGATCAGGCAGGAGGTCTCACCTGTACTCTTATGAAGCGGGGTCTGGCGTAAGTAGGCAGGTACTCAGCAATATGCTTAAAGAGTTTCTTTCCATCAAATTCGTGATTCTCCTTCATCTTGATGGAGGCCATGCCAATTCGACCCTCATGACCTACAAATAAAGTGAGAGAAAGAAATAGTTTTCCTTATATTTATATAGGGTGCTTAGTTTGCTTGTTCAAAGACCTGGACTGTGGTAATTTTAGGCAGGGGTTATTTTTGGGCAGGTGGAATTAATTTCAAATATATATTGAATTTTGCCCTAAAGTGAAGGTAAGAGATACATTAGCTAATGTGTGTACACACTTGGATGCAGTTTGTTTTATAGATTAGCTCATGTAATCTTCACAACAACTCTATGAAGGGGTAAAAAGGTCATTTCCATTTTACAGATGAAGAAACTGAGGCTTTAGAATGTTAAAAGACTTGTTCAGGGCCACGTTGAAAATACAAAGCAGGGTCAGAAATTATGTGCAAAGTCCTAGGTCTGCTTCCATAAAGGTTATGGTCTTCGAAGTCCTATGAGGTGGTTCCTCTCAGTCTTACGGGATCGCTCTGAACGGAAATCAGCTTGACGGCACATAGCAACAAGAGGCTGGCGTGAGGTTCTGTGCTGGTCACCATCCTCCTTCCCCTTGATGAACGAGCATTGAGGAAAACATCTGGAGTTGACACAGCTCAAACTGGTAGCTAAAGGAATATTTTTCACTTCAGGAAATAGTCCATGTTCCCCATCAGGAGTGACAGAGCTCAGGCTGCTTTTCGGGCTGCAATGCCAGGTCTGTTGAGCCTCTAAGCACAAAAACCACCTCTGAGACTTACTTATTTAATCAAGATTCCTAATAGCTCTGCCTTCCTGTACTTCAGAGAAGCTGAGGGACAGGAAGGTGAAGGTGAGGTGCAAGGGTGAGCTGCTCTGTGCCCTCGTGTTAATGCCTGTTGGTCCCCAGAGGCTGTGTTCTCCACAGAGAAAACAGATCTTAATACCAGTTCTTTCTTCCCCATCAGGCAGGGCAGTAAGCAGAGAGGTGTTTAGAACAATTACCATTGTTTTCTTGTGAGGACAGTGGTAATTAAGTATTAATATACTTTCTATCTGATCCAACAGACCCAGTGGGAGGCAGCCTCACTTCCCTGAACTACTTAGCTGTAATCAGAGAGGGGAAGGAGTCAGCCTTCTCTTGGTCACTTGGGCCCCAGCTTTCGAAATCCCTCCCATGGTGACTGTGTGTTTACCAATGACTCTGAAGATGGTAGGAAACAAAAAGAAAACTTAAAAGAAATGAAAACAGCTCTGCTTTGGTTTGACTCTTCTCTGAGGGAGGAGGAGACAGGGCATCAGACTGTCTTTTTATTTAAGGATCTCTGGCAGCTGTCTCGAAGGCACATGTCTCAGAAATGTTTATTGTTTCCCTTAAAAGCTCCACCTAAAGTTTAGTGACAGACTGATGCAACAGAAATCTTTAGGGTCCAGAGGCTTTTTCTTACTTTGGCAGAGACACTAGACAATGCCCAAGCAAGACACGGTGGATCTGCTGTGTCTGAGGCCTGTGGCTTAACTCCCAGAGATTAGAGTCTACCTCAGCTCTAGGGGGAGGCTCTGGTCTACAGAAGCTTCAGACTAGCTCAAAAGATCAACCCTGGCCAGGGTCTCTAAGATGCTTTCCCCAGTTGGGAATTAGAAAAAGATCCTCAGGGATGCAATGGTTTTACACTCAGCTGCCGACCGGAAGGTTGGTTGTTCGATCCCACTCTGTGGGTCATTGGGAGACAAGATATGGTGATCTGCCCCCAAAGTATCAAAGCCTAGAAAACCTTACGGGGACATTTACTGCTTTGGTGAAATGCTATCAATCATCAACTCTATGCTATGCAACAACAACAACAGAGTCAGAGAGGAACAGGAAATAGTTTTAAAAGAAAGAAAGAAAGTCATCTGCAAGTGTCACAGCTCAGAATAAAAGAGACTTTTGGGTTTTCATTTGTAATATGAGTGAGAATGTAAAATTGACTGCCCTTAAGTCAGTTCCAACACAACAGCGAACTGGGTTTCCAGTGATGTAAGTTACAATACAATTGGAGATTACTGATCTTTCTCTGCAGAACCCCTGGTGGATTTGAACCACTGGAGACAACTGGTCTTTGGATTAACAGCACAACTAGCTATGGACTATGCAACAGAGCTTCCTCATATTTATATTGTGATTTGAAAGGTTTAGTCCTCTTTGACATTTGTAATTAAAATGCTTTTTCTCATGAGAATATTCATATTTATACTGTATATAGAGGAGAATTGATGCCTTTGAGCTGTGGTGCTGGAG